TCAGCACCACATACCAACAAAGATGTTGTGTCCGCCAAGAACTAAAAAATAAATATTAAAAATTCTAAAAAGAAACTATCAGCAAAATCAAAAGCTGATATTTGAGAAGATCAATAAAATTAATAAACCTTTTCTCAAATTGGTCAGAGAAAAAAAGAGAGAAGGGATCACTGGAGGATCACTGAATTTGCCTAAGCAAATTCACAGATATGATACTAAAAGCAGAATTCATTTTTTTAAAGTGATAAATTGAACTTTATCAAAATCAAAAACATTTGCTTTGTCAAAGACATTGTTAAGATTTTTTAAAAAGACAGGCTATGGCCTAGAAAAATATATTTGAACATAATCTGACAAAACACTTGGATTCAGGGCTACATTCAAAACCCTTCAACAATCAATAAGGAATAACAATTTTTAAAATTAAAAACTGTTTTTCATTAGTTTTTTATGGTGCTGGGGATGAACCCAGGGGCCTCTCGAATACTAGGTAAAGCACTGTACCACTGAGTTACACCTTCAGCCCTCAACACTTTAAAAAGGAAGATGTACAAACAGCAAATAAGCACATGAAAAGGTGCTCAATATCATTAATTATGAGGGTAATGCAAATTAAAACCATAATAAAATGCCATCACTTACATGTAAGAATAACTAATATTTCTAAAACTAATATTACCAAGGTGTGGCAAGGATGCTGAGCAACTAGAACTCTCATCCATTACTGGTTAAACTGCAAAATGGTTTACTCACTTTGGAAAACAGTTTGGAAGTTTTTTATAAAATCAAGCATACACTTACCATAAGACCCAGCAATCCTACTCTAAAAATAAAAAATCAGGTTCACACAAAAATATGCATGTGAATGTTTTTAAGCAAGCTTTATTCAAATCAGCAAAAATTGAAACAACCCAATGTCCGTCAAATGGTGAGCAGATAAACAAAATATGATATATCCACAGAATGAAATGCTATTAGCAATAACAAGGAAAAAACTAATACATAAAACAAAATAAATTTCAAATGCACAATGCTAAATAAAAGCAGCCAGATTCAAAAAGCTACATATATTTGCATAATTTTATTTATATAATATTCTAGAAAAAAATAAAACTGTAGGCATAAATCACAGATTAGTGGAAACCAGGGCTTAAGAAGTGAAGAGGGTATGACTACAAAGGGAAAACACAAAGAACCTTTTGGAGAGCACTGTGATGTACTTTGTAGCTTTACCTAAAACTCTATGCATTTATCAAAAATGATAGAACCATACAGCAAAAATAAGTTTTTCAGTATACTAAAAAATAATTTTCTTCCTTTTTTTCTTTTGTGATACTGGAGATCAAACCTAAGGCCTCCCACATGCTAGGCAAGCAGTGTACCACTACGATATATTTCATTTCCAGTGCAAAAAATAATTTTCAAAAATAAACTAAAGATCATTTTTAAAAAAGAAGGAAAAAACAGAAGGTTGTTAATAATAATGAAGTCAAACAATAATAATAATAGGATAAATTAAAGCCTCTGAAACAAGAACAAGTAATAAAAAGATAGCAGTAAGTTGAAGATGAGTTTCAAAGGAAAGACAGAAATTTAGTTACCAAAATTTGTGACAAATATCAGAAAAATGAAAATGCTGACTTGAATATAAACTATACATTTGGTCCTGATTTGTCCTGGAATCTGAGATAATTCTAACTGTATAAGAGGATTCTACATCACAGATAAAGGAGAAAAGAGGCTCACAGACTAGTAATCAGGCAGGGCTTTAGACTTTTTTTAAAATACTAGCACCTCTAAATGAAGGATCCTTTGTTTTCTGGGGTTTTTTAAAAATATTTTATTTAATTGTTAAACATTTATTTATTTGTTCATTTTTTTTTAATTTATAGCAGTACCTGGGATTGAACCCAGGAGCACTCTACCACTAATTATGTCCCTAGCCCTTTTAACTTTTTATTTTGAGACAGGGTGTTGCCAACTTGCTGATGCTGGAATCAAATTTGCATTCTTCCTGCCTCAGCCCCCAGAGTTACTGGGTTTATAAACATGCATACTGCACCCAGTTCAAAGGTTCTTGATACATAGTATCTAATAGAATTCTGGAAGTTCACGAAAGCAGATAGTATAAAAATTTATCTTCATTTTTAACCTCTAGCTATGTACTATATTTCCTTAGACTGTGAATATATAAAAACAACTATCTTGACTAAACAGGATTTTGCCTTTATTACTCAAAGAAATCATAATGTTCCTATTGTATGATGGTATCATGGATCTGCTACTATTTTCTTTTATATGCATTCTGAAAAAATAATTTTCAAAAACAGACCTAAGATAATTTTTAAAAATTCAATTTAGAATGTCTAATTATAACAGGAGAGATTAAAAACAAGGTCTCTGGAAAAAGTCATAAAAACCGGGCATTAAGGTGGGGATGAGTTTCAAAGGCAGGCAGAAATTAAGTTATCCAAATTGGTCACTAATGTTAGGAAAATGAAAACACTGAACTGAATAAAAGTGTGCCTTTGACCTGATTTGTACTGGAGTCTAAGACTCATAAATTTATTATTATTATTTTGGTAGTAGGGATTTACCCCAGTGGCACTTTACCATTGAGCTATATCCCAAGCCCATTTTTTATTTTGAGACAATGTCTCTCTAAATTGCTTAGGGACTCACTAAATTCCTGAGGCTGTCTTCGAACTTGCCAACCTCCTATCTCGGCCTCCTGAATCACTGTAATTATAGACAGGCACCACTGTACCCAGCTAAAGCATAAATTTATAAATCATATACTTACAAATCATATATATGAAGTTTTTTAGTACTTTGGTAATTACTCTGTTCCCATCTTACAAAGCTCCTCTTTCTTTTCTTTTCATTCTTTCTTTTTGGCATATTAGGGATGGAATTTAATGGTGCTCTACCACCAAGCTACATTCCCCAGTCCTACATATTTTTTTTTAATTTTGAGACAGGTTCTCACTAAGTTGCCCAGGCCAGCCTCCATCTTCCAATCCTCCTGCCTCAGTGTCCCAAGTAGCTGGGATTACAGGTATGAAGCACTGCAACTGGTTCAAAATTTCTTTCTCCAGGTTCTCTAATATCCTACATATATCTATGAAGTGTCACTATCTCCATGGTTACATAACAGTTTACACCCAAGACAAGGAAATGCACAGCTTTTTTTTAGAGCAATAGTTATATTTCTTTATCCTCATTAGATAGTAGAGTGCATATATGTAGATATAGATACTATAGATAAATATATGCAAGTGCTCTACCACTGAGCTACATCCCCAGTCTTCCATGTAAAATTAAAACCATCAAATAAATGTTCCATCTAGTCATATATATATAAAAAGAGAGACCTGACTATATAAATATATAATATTTATAATATATATATTATAATATATAATATATATAAATGAAAAGTACTTTCTGAAACTACAGATAGAACTAGTCTAAAAAAACACATCTATCTTATGCACAAAAAGAAATTTAATAAAGGTATCTCAAAAAGGATTTTAAGTTGATAATACGTGGGGAAGTATAAAATGTTTACTTTTGTCTCCTAAATACACTACACACTCATTGAGATATCTTGCATTATTGATTTAAAAAGTGAAAAACAGGATCCGAAACCAAAACCCAAATAGCTAGACCTTAAAGGTTTCTACAGTAATACACTTCTCTGGTTCTTTGGGTTAAATAACAGCAATTACCAACCAAGTGAGATACAGCAGTTATTTAAACAATGCAAATGTTTAAATGGTAGAGGCGAAAGTAAGGGGATCTAAGGGCAGCAATTCAACTGTGGATCAAACTACCAGAGAGAAAAAAAGAGTTTTCTGCAGTCTAGAGATAATCTAATGAGAACTATGAAAAAGAGATAATATTATAAATATAAAAGAAAATATTTACAAAAGTAATTTTCTTATAAAGGTATCATTTCCTTCCCATCAATAAAATGTACCCGTTTAAAAAAAAAAAACAAAACTTCAGATACACCTCTTATTTTATAACAGAAATCAGGGGCCAAATAGAATTTGCTATTCCATATTTCCTTACCATTATTTGGTGACAAAATGAAATGTGTAAATACAGAACAATTTAATTTCAACTGAACACTATTTCATTTGAATGGGGCACTTTACCATTGAGCATATACCATTTAAAAAGTTTTTTAACAAAAACATACAATATATTCAATCTATACTAATTTGCCCTATATCCACTAATCTTTTATTATAAGCTGCCAAATTATTGAGTTTTTATATGATTTTTTCTGATTGCATAGTCACTACATGTTCATTACAGAAAACTTACAACAAAAGAATTCCCCATAATCTTACCAACTATAAATAACCACTAATTATTTTATTTCTTCTGTGAGTACTAGCTTACTTAGTAAAAATGCTACTAATCAATACTTTTTGCCCACTTGTTTCCAGTTGTTCAGCTAAGAGCTTTATAAGCACTATTTTATTATTATAACAATCTTATTCAAGTAATAGGTGAATAGTACCATTACAGTTTTTATCAACTACAGTTTAAAGTGGTTAGGAAATATGTCCATAGTCACAGAGATAAGTGGTAGAGTTGAACCCAGCATCTTTGATAACTATACAATATCATCATTGATATAGATGATAACATATTCTTCTCTTTGTTCCTAAGTAATTTCCTATATCATAAAAATTATAATTTTAGATGGCTATTCAATATCATTTGAATATATAATAATTTACTTAACCACTCCTCTATTAGATCAAATTATTTCTGTATAATATTTGTAAATGTGATCCATTAAATAGAAAAAATAAAAACTAGGATTGGGGATATAGCTCCCAGGTAAAGTACTTGCCTAGGAAGCATGAAGCTCTGGGTTCAATCCCTAGTACCATCAAAAAATAAAATAAAATAAAAACTAGGTACATGTAAGACTTGTTTGATTAGTTTAAACTTAAAATTAAATATATGATTCAACTTACTCTTTTACTGAGGCATATAACTGGCCACATACTGCAACCTAATGTGCAGCAGCAACAAAGGCAGCCACAAAGTAGCCAACGTACATTAACAGGAAGGTTCTTCTTAAGACAACTGTTAACTCTGTTGATGCTGGCTTTAAATTCTTCAGGAGCTACCTAAAGAAAGAGTTTAAGAAATAACAACATCGAAATATTAACAAACATGTCTCATACATTTTGTCTAATTTTCTAGGAAAAACTTTAGTTTTGAAACATCTAAACAGGAAATAAATAATTGAGCCACTCACTTTTCCAGTTAATGAAGAAGGGAATTCTGATTCAAATTTGTTGCTCAGTCCAAATCTATTTTTAAAAAAATAAGAAGAAAATGTTATTATCTATCACTGTTATAAAAAAATAAAAAATGTAAACATTTAGACTAACTCTGTGGCAGAGGCTTGTAATCCCAGAAATTTGGAGGCTGAGGCAAGAAGATCACAAGTTTTTTGTGGTACTGGGGATTGAACTCAGCCTGATAACTTAATAAGACTATCTCAAAATAAAAATAAAGAGGGCTGTGTGCTGGGGTTGTGGCTCAGTGGTAGAGCAATCAACTGGCATGCGTGAGCCACTGGGTGCAATCCTCAGCACCATATAAAAATAAAGTAAATGTACTATGTCCATCTACAACTAAAGAAAAAAATATTTTAAAAAATAAATAAATAAAGAGGGCAGGCAGCAGGGCAGGGTGGGGGAACCTAGCTCAGTGATATAGTACCCTGAGTTCAATCCCCAGTACCACAAAAAATAAATAAATATTTAACTTAAAGATCAGAAACATCAGTAGAATGTAGATTAATATATATAGAAGTTAGAGACAAATGAAAGTATAAGACACAAGAGTTTCATAATAATCAATTTATGAAATTTAACAAGCAATTATTTGTCAATGAATCAAAACTTTCATATAATGAGACTGAATGTTACCTAATCAGCAGTATATAAGTAAAAGAATAGATGATTCATTTAATTTGAGCTACCACCTCTTCCTTAAAAACTTCAGAGCATTTTTTTTTTTGGGGGGGGGGTGCTAGGGATTGAACCCAGGGGAACTTAACTACTGAGCCACATCTCTAGCCCTTTTTATTTTTTATTTTGAGATAGGGTCTCCCTAAGTTGCTTAGGGACTCACTAAGTTACTGAGGCTGGCCATGAACTTGCAATCCTCCTCCCTCAGCCTCTTAAGCCTCTGGGATTACAAGTGTACACCATAAAACATATTACCTTTATAGACATGATAGCCAATTTTCTAGTTTTGAATGTTAGTGGTAGAGATAAGCCATGGTTTTGAAGGTTAATAGGTGTCCTTGGTAGACACAAGTAATAAGAGAAGGAAAAAAGTGGGAAGGAGGAATAGAAGAGTGAAAGGAGAGAAAATATAAATAAAAACAAAGTAGGGCTTGACAAAATGCTACCAAGAATTATCTTAGGTGACACTCAATACCTACTTGATTGTCAGTGTATTAAATGGTATGAAAGAAAACCCGACACCTCCTCTATCGCCATCTATTCCTATTACCTGAAAGATCGTTCCTTAAATTTGGATTAAAATACTACATGGCTTTAGAAGTGATAAACGATTTTCAAAGATTACAAAAAAATAATAAACTTAACACACTATGATCTTACCTATTAGAAATATACTAATACTTGGAGAAAAGGGCATTCAAATTACAAATACTGAACATCTTCTATGAGATATGTCCTGATGATCCTAAAATGGGAAGTTTTTAGAACTTTTTTTTTAAAGAAATAATGTACAAGGTCAATTTACTTTTATATAATTTAATTTTTAGGGGGCTGGGATGTGGCTCAAGCAGTAGCACACTTGACTGGCATGCGTGCGACCAGGGTTTGATCCTCAGCACCACATACAAACAAAGATGTGTGTCTGCCAAGAACTAAAAAATAAATATTAAAAAAAAATTCTCTCTCTCTTTAAAAAAAAAATTTAAAGTTCATGCACACTCGTACATTGCTGGTGGGACTGCAAATTGGTGCAGCCAATTTGGAAAGCAGTATGGAGATTTCTTGGAAAGCTGGGAATGGAACCACCATTTGACCCAGCAATTCCCCTTCTCGGTCTATTCCCTAAAGACCTAAAAAGAGCATACTACAGGGACACAGCTACATCAATGTTCATAGTAGCACAATTCACAATAGCTAAACTATGGAACCAACCCAGATGCCCTTCAACAGATGAATGGATTAAGAAATTGTGGCATTTATTCACAATGGAATATTACTCAGCAGTAAAAAATAACAAAATCATGGCATTTGCAGGGAAATGGATGGCACTAGGGCAAATTATGCTAAGCGAAGATAGCCAATCCCTAAAAAACAAATGCCGAATGTCTTCGCTGATATAAGGGACGTGACTCAAAACAGAGTAGGAAGGAAGAGCATGAGAAGAAGATTACCACGAAATAAGGAAAGAGGAGGGAGGGAAAGGGAGGGAGAAGGGGAAATGCACAGAAGACGGAAGGAGACCCTCATGGGTTCACAAAATACATCTACGATGGTGTGTGGGGGGAAGGAAAGGGGAAAAAAAGAGAAAGAGAGATAAGTGTCACAGTAGTGTGGGTAGACAATAGGGATGGGAGGAGAGGGGAGGGGAGTGGGGCATAAGGAGGGCAGCAGAATACAACTGACACTAGGATTGCTGTGTGTATACACATGGATGTATAACCAATGTGATTCTGCAATCTGTACACATGGAAAAATGACAATTCATACCCTATTTGAATCAAATGTATGATATGTCAAGATCATTGTATTGTCTTGAACAACTAATAAAAATAAATTTTAAAAAAGTTCATGCAAAACACTAGGCAAAACTTTGAATGTAATTTGGCAATTATGTAGAAATTAATTCTTGAAATAGGCTTGTTTTATTCATATTCCACATACTTCCAGTTCACTATGTCCTCCTTCCTACAATCTACAGCCATAACTCAAAGTGTAAACTAAGCTGTTACCTTGCTTTCTCATTTCATCCAATTCAGCCTTTCTCTTTCCTGATACAGCCTCCCTTTTAAAATCCCCTTTACTCTTTCCTTTGGAACTCCTAATCTTTTGTTATGCTGCTACCAGTATACCTCCTTATATCTTTTCTTCATCAAAAGGAGATCAACAGAAAAGGAAACAGATCAGGGGAGGGAGGAGGGAAGGGAAAATACTGGAGAATGATATTGGCCAAATTATATTGTTATATTGTGTGTATAAATGAACATGTAACAACAAATTCCATCATCAGGAGCCAGGCATTACATGCCTGTAAATCCAGCAACTGAGGAGGCTGAGGCAGGAAGATCACGAGTTCAAAGCCAGCCTCAGCAACTCAGTGAGGCCCTAAGCAACTCAGCAAGACCTTGTCTCTAACAAAATATAAAAAAGGGTTGGGGATGTGGCTCAATGGTTAAGCACCCCTGGATTCAATCTCTGGTACAAAAAAAAAAAAAAAAATTCCACAATTATGTACCTCTACAATACACCAATGGAAAAAAAAAATGTGGGGGAAAAATGCCTCCTTCCTTAGGAATTCTCAACTGTAACACATTCCTAACTTAATGAATTATGAAGAAATTAAGCTCTATCTAATTCAGCAGCTTACATACACTGTAATATAGTCCAGATACTGTTATCATTGGGACTGTAACACCTGAAATTTTGAACTGTAAAATTCTATTACTACTATTAAACATTCCATGTCTTCCATCCTTACACCAAGGTTTTTGGGTCTCTGATTATATCTTTTTTTTTTTTTTTTTTTTTTTTTGCTTCTGGGGATTGAACCCAGGGCCTTGTGCATGTGAAGCAAGCACTCTAGTGAGCTATATCTCAAGTGAGCTATATCCCCAGCCCCTCTGGTTATAGCTTACTGCTTTTCAACCCTTGAAATCTCCCAATGGCTCCATTTCCTTCCCTATGTGTCAGAACTATATACTCAATCATTTTCATTTGTTGTTGGTTTTTTTGTTGTTGTTTTTGTTTTTTTACAAAACTTTTAATTGTTTTGACCGTACTCCAACAAATATCCATTATCATCTTTACAGTGTCTTCTGACAACCCAGGTTCAATTAAACTGTTTACTTTCTTCACTTCAATTCTCACTGCCTGGAGCTACTAGGGAAAAAAATCACCCTAACTTATAAATATATTATTTCTAATTTCAGTATTATTGCCTAAGCAATCTTTTTTCTGTTCTATTAAATTACCTTACCCATATTCCATGGTTGTTGTTCCTCTTCATGTACTCAGCTTTATCCTCACAACTCACAGTTTTTGCAGATAACCATAGTGGTTAACTCCAAGTGGGGAAAAAAAAAAATCACTGAATATAAACTGCTTTAGCTTCCCTCCTTTTAACTTTTAGATTTAGCCACATGTCTTCTATATCTTTCTTCCTCTCTCTTTGGGTACTGGGTATTGAACCCCAGATGCTTTTACCACTGAGCCCCAGCCTTTTTAAAATTTTATTTTGAGACAGGATCTTGCTAAGTTGCCCAAGTTGGCCTCGAACTTCTGATCCTTCTGCTTCAGACTCCCAAAGTAGCTAAAGGCTTGCTACCAACTATCTTCATGAGTTGCTTAGGGCCTCACTGAGTTGCTGAGGCTGGCTTTGTACTCGTGATCCTCCTGCCTCAGCCTCCCCAGTTGCTGGATTTACAGCAACTATCTTCTCAAAGCTAACTATTTGCTCCTGATTGCATACCCTCTGCAATCCCTATCTTTGTACATAGATTACAAACCTGCATAAGTCCACATGGCCTGAATGTTTTATAGGGATTTTCTTCTCCCTCAATGTATGATAACATCCATCTCTTGTTCTCTCTCAGAGTCTTGAAAGAGTTCTTTACGTCCACTATCTTTAACTCAGATCCCATTCATTATGCAAACTATAACAATCGAGGCTTTCAAATGCATCTTTACTGATGAAACTGATCTCATCAGAGCAGTTAAAAAACAACTCTTTTCAACAAGTCCTCTTTTACAGTATGCCTTCTCCTAGTAAAGAGCTTGGGCATCAGAAAGTCTTATTTGACAAGGCATCAACAAATATTCGTTTGCATATCTTTCATCTTTGCCAAAGCTTTTTTTTTTTTTTTAAATCGGTCAACCAAAGCAATACTATCAGGTCAAGTTTTTACAAGATCATTGTATTTTATTAAACTGATATGAAAATCCATACTGCATGTTTGAATAATATAACTGCAAAATATCATCTTTGATGGTTTTGATTTTCTATAGACTGCTAAAGGTTTTTTTCTTTTTCTTCTTTTTCTTTGTGGTGTGGGATTGAA